TGGGGCTTGCTCGAGGCAATCGACGAACAACAGGATGATCATGATTTGATCGATTGTGATCGGATTATTCTGAAAGTCAAATGAGATCCAACCCTGGGCCTTTTGGGCCATAAACTTGAAGCTGTCCAAAGACGGGAGGCCTCTTCCTCTACTCCCTCTTTCTTGATGAGGGATAACAGGGTGGCTGCTCTTTCTTGCAGTCTCTGCCACCCTTCTGCTCCGTGGCCCACCCACCCCACCCAACATTTGCTACCTGTGCCTGCTGCACCACCATCCCTGCCCCGCTTCTCTCCAGGCGGGCCACCGAGCACGCTGTGGGGAGTGCTCAGCGCAGTGAGCCTGAAAGGATCTAGGGGCCATAGGGGTCCTACTGAGAATTCTGCTGGGAGTGAACATGATCTCAGCTGGGGATGTCGATGGATAGGTGGAATTCAGAATTTTCACTTGAAAGGAGGAGCACCAGACACTGAGACTGGCAGAGGCCCAGGAAGCAGCTGGTGGGCAGGGAGGAAGTGAGGCTGCATAGGAGGCCCGTCGCTGTCCTTGTGGAAAGAGCTGTTAGAGTAATCTTGTCTCCCATCACTCGGATACTTGCTGTGAGTTCCGTGAATCCTGTGGCCACTCTGAGTGGGAAGAACGATTCTATCCCATCAGTGACTCGGGTTTTGCAGTCCATATGGGACCGAGTAACAAGGAAGGAGGAAGAAGGAAGGATGCAGGAAGGAGGCCTCATCTCAGTCTCTGGAAGCAGTCCTCACTTTCACTCACTGAAGTGGGCAGTGGGTTTTGTCTTGCAAGTGGAGTCCTCTTACCAAAGTGCAATCTGGGGATTCCAGAGAACCAGTGTCAGCCCTTTCTTCTCTACCAGGCCATCAATGATGGAACCACAGGGAGGACCCTGGATGTCTGTCCAGAGTTCCCAGGCTTTTAGAAAGACTTTCTTTCTAAGTAATTCAGAAACTTGCAAGGGATGTATTCAGGACTTTGCAGTCTTGGTTGTTATTCTTTTTCTGTGTGTAAATTATTAATTGGGAGGGACAGGAATGGAACTCCAGGCAGCACAGGAGTCCCAGGAACACTGCCGAATGTGGTCCTCTCTGAGCAACAGCAAAAAGCATTTGCCGGCTTCTGGGTGCGTGATGCCAGGAGGATGATCGTGGCTGTTGGGCTGTGTCCCTCGCACGGGCTCCCTGGGTGAGTGCTCTGAGGACAGCTCCAGCCATGCTTCCGATGCCCATTCTGTGTGTGCTTAAAAATGCCTGTCCTTTTCGAATGTCTGCTCATGAAAATAGTAAGTGGCCCCTTCATTGCCTACAAGAGTCAGTTCACCTTGATGAAAGGATCGTGTTCCCTGGAGACGATGAACATTTGGGTGGTGAATGTTTGTGCAGCTTGTTCTTGACAGTTGTTTTTGAAGTCATTAGGCCAATTCTTTTAAATCACATTTAGAGAAAAAGATGTGAAAATCAGGTACACAATCTTCCTAGCATGAAATCTGTTTCTAGGATTCTTGGACAGTGGTCTGCCTCCACCCCCCATCTCCACCCACTGCTGCTCACCCAGGATGCAGCACTGATTCCACTGACCACATGCGTCCTCTGTGTAGTGGGGTCTGTGTCTCCTGTGAAGCAGAGGACATCACTGTCCTTGTCATGCTCTGCAGAATTGAAGTGGAAGCCCTCATTTCTCAGGGCTTGCATTAGTTAGATTATCCTGAAGGAACTCTAGTAGAAGCAAAAATAAGCTGGTATGTTCCTCAGTGTGTTTCTCATGGTTGCATCTCTGCTGGTGTTTCCTCAGTGTCTCTAAAGCTGATTGTCTGTGTTGTGGTTATTTTTTTTCTTTTTCAAATGTACTATTTCTCCCTGATAGCATTCTCATCTAGATAATCTCATATAATTGACTCACCTCAATATAAATACCAATATTCATTAATTCAAACAAGGACATACCAAATGAGGGTTTCACTGGGAAGTGATATTAAGATTGAGCACCAAACCATGTGGTTTGGTGGCCCCAAGGGCGATTTGGCATAAACCCTTGCCCAGGAACTGGTATCTGATCTGAGCTCTGACTCCCCAGTGGACATGAATCCATCAGAGCCTAAAAATGTTCCATCATTTGTAAGCATGATCTGGGGTACATCTTATACTTGCAGAATTGTAGAGATGACATTTAGGGGTGTGTTTGGGTCACAACCAGCCAGTGCTCATGGCTTACTCATGGCTCTCTGCTCAGAGACCCTGGCAATGCTCTGAGATGCAGTGCCAGAGATCAAGCTAGAGTAGACCACATGCAAGGCAAGTTCCTTAACTCCTTCATGGCTCTTCAACCCTTATCGATGACATGATGCGTGCTTGGTGGTTGTGGGTCTCCTCTTACTGAATTGATAGAGTTTGGTGCGGCTGAACTGGCACGTCCTGCAACCCAGCCCAGGGTCACTTCGGCGAGTGGCGGCTGGTTGCCTGTGGATGGAGCTGTTGGTGTGTGCCCTCCTGCGTCTCCCTGAAAGTGAAGTGCCTTGGACTGGAAGCCATGTGGACCGGGTTCTGGTTGCATCTCTGCATAGTAACTGCTGAATTTGGGACCTTTGATTCTTCTGTCATGCTGTTATTTTTCTATTATTCAGCTGCTTTCTCAAATAGTTACATTTATTTTCCTAGTTTGTTTTAAATGTAAAGAACCACGATTGACAAAGTTATTGATAGTTGAGCTTTAGGCATATGATGTTCTATACCAATCCCACTGCCAGTATCAGCTTTTCTCCACGGTGTTTCCGTGTTCCCTCCCATACCCACTCACTATCCACCTTGATAGGTATGTTGTAAAGTTTGCTGATTGTAGTTTGGATCTCATGTTTTCAGTGTCATTGAGTCTGTGGTAATATATAGATATTCCACCGTGCCCCACCCTCCCCCATGCACAGGGTATACTCTACTCCTGTTCCCCATTAATTCCGTTTCCCGTTAATTAGTGGATTTCAATTCATTCATCTTCTTCCTTCCTTCTTTGATGGTAAAGGTAAAAGGTAAAGGCCCTCCCGTTGTTCATCGATTTGCTCGAGCGGGCCCAGTAACGTCTCCATTGGAGATTTTGTTGTTACTGTGTTTGGCATATTGAATACATCACGGGGAGCTTGCCAGGCTCTGCCGTGCGGGCGAGATACTCTCGGTAGCCTGCCGGGCTCTCCGAGAGGGGCGGAGGAACCGAACTCGGGTCGGCCATGTTGGCTGCGTGCAAGGCAAATGCCCTACCGCTGTGCTATCGCTCCAGCCCTGCTTCGATGAAACAGGAGTAATAATGGCTAGTTGACTAGGTAGACTAGACTGTAAAAATAGGGAGAGAAATGAGAGAAAATGAGAACAAAAATGTACCTGTCTTCTAATAGGTGCTCATTAAACTCTAGTAGTCATCCATGCCAGTCCCTTGAGTTATTCCTGAGGCTTGATCCAGCCCTGCCTCTTAGAATCTCAGCAGTCACACTCCGTGTTGTGCCCTGTTCCCCCTCGCAGGGTTCTCCCATAGCTCTTCTTAGGACACGGTTGGTGATGTTCCCTGCTGGACTTGTCCCATGTCTACTGTTCTCCCCCTTTCATTCTTTCCTGGGGCACAGTCTCAAAAGAGGGAGCTAGTTTCATGCTCTCAACATAGTATCCCCAAATGCCTATCATATTGCCCTAGTAATTCAAACAGTCCAGAAACTGCTGACCAAGTCTCACCTCTAGAGTGACAGACAGAAAGCAGAGTGCTGGCAGGTCTTTACAGATTGGCCTTTGCTCAGCCCACCTGCGTTCAGCAGCTCCAGGGCCTTGAAGCACCTCCTGTGTTGTGTGCTTACAACATCACACTTGATCTGAAGAAATGATATGGGAGGAGCGACTGAAGGCCAGCAGGGAACTCCCTTTGCTGTTGGTCAGTTTCAGGCCTGGACCCTGGTAGCCATTCTACTCACCAGCAGTGTGAGGGCTGGGAGTAACTGAATGCCACAAATGCTACACCCTGGGCTGAGTCATAATGGGAACAAGGCTTGCTTTCCCCACCCACATTTTTTTGGTTTTGTTTTGGGTTACACCCATCGGTGCTCAGGACTTATTCCTGGCTCTGTACTCGGGGACCACTCCTGGCATGCTGGCGGACCATATGGGGTGCTGGGGATTGCACTTGGGCCGGTCACATGCAAGGCAAGAACCCTTCTGTTCTATTGATCAGGTTTGCCTGCAGAGCTGCTCTCTGGGCCTGTGGGCCTGCTGTGCACTCACAGAAACTCTGTGCTGAATGGACAGACCCCCAGGGGCCAGGAAGAGAGAGAAGCAGGGAAGGTGCTTGCCTTGTATGCAGCCAAACTAGGTTCCATTCCCGTTCATTTTCCCTTGAACCCCACCAGGAGTGAACCTTGAGTGCAGAGCTCTCTGACACTGGGTCCAACAAACAAAACCAAAAACAGACCAGAAGTAAGCCTTGGAAGTCTCTTTTCCTTGAGTTCCACTTTTAGGTTTCGGAATGGTGAGGGGGTGGCAGGCTTCAAAAACAGGTATTGTGTTGCCTAAGATTGTGTTCCTTGGTTCCATAGGAGATACTCAGGAGACTTGAGGTAGACTGATGAGTATGGGCTGTCTCTTGTCGCAAGCGTCATGGGAAATTCTTGGGAATGTTGGAGCAGAGCTCAGAAGTGAAACAAATGGTGAAATGAACTGAATCCTCAGGGCATAATGATTGCAAGGGCAAGACATCCCGTTTTAAGGAGATGATTTTTTCTGCATCTCGAGGCCAAAGGATTCTGTCTCCCGAGTATGTTGGAACATTCAGATTGTTTCCACTGTGGTTCCTGTTGCTGGGGCATACGTCCGCTGGGAAGGTCCATGAGGAGTGTTTGTCCCCAGTTACTAGTGCTTGGTTGTTGTGAATTGTTTGCTTAAAAAAAATGAACGTTACTTGTTCGAAGGGTCCTGTACCCTGCCCATACCTGACCTAGAGTCTCTTTCTTGTTTCTCCCCTCCCAGTGCTGCACACACAGGGCCCTGTGGATGGCAGTCTTTACGCCAAGGTGAGGAAGAAGAGCACGTCCGAGTTGGGGGGGCCCCCAGCTGCCATTTCCACCAGCAGCCCAGACCACGGGGAGCACACACTGTCGGTCAGCAGCGATTCTGGACACTCCACCACTTCAGCCAAGACAGATAGGACTGAGGAGCGCCTTGCTCCAGGGCCCAAGAGGGGCCTGAGCCCCCAGGAGAAAGCTGAATTGGACCAACTCCTCAGCGGCTTTGGCTTAGAAGATTCTGGTAGCCACGTCAAGGATATGACTGATGCTCACAGCAAGTACAGCGGGACACGCCACGTTGTACCCGCCCAGGTTCATGTGAATGGAGATGGCATGCCCAGGGATCGGGAGACGGACATCCTGGACGACGAGGTACCCAGCCATGACCTGCACAGTGTGGACAGCATCGGGACTCTGTCCTCCTCCGAGGGCCACCCCTCGGCCCACCTGGGCCCTTCCACCTGCCACAAGACCAGCCAGAACTCGCTGCTCTCGGATGGATTTGGCAGCCCTGGAGAAGAACCGCAGGGTCCCCTGGGCCCAGACCTGGGCCTCAGTGGGGGGCCCCCATATGAGCAGGAGCGGGCTCTTGGGGGTCAAGAGCCCAGACCACTGCAGCCTCTGCTGAGGGAGCCATCTGTGTCTGCCCAGACGCAGGCCTTTGGACAGAGTGGCTACTCCACACAGACCTGGGTCCGCCAGCAGCAGATGGTGGCCACACATCAGTATGGCTTTGGCCCCGAGTCAGAAGCCAGGCTTGTCAGCCGGGGCTCATCAGACAGCTCGGGCCTGCTGCAGGCCCAGCCCAGCATTCTGGTCACACCTGCCAGGGGGCCTGGGAGGGGGGCTGTCCACAGGGGCCTGGGGCTAGGGCCACAGCCCCTGGACACACAGTGCCCCTCTCTAGGCAGGGCCTGCAAACCCAGGTTCTCCGACATGGGGCTGGTGAACGGGACCGGCCTGGAGCTGAGTACAGACCCCTCTCTGGGCTCGCCCACCCTGGACATTGACCAGTCCATCGAGCAGCTCAACAGACTCATCTTGGAGTTGGACCCCACCTTTGAGCCCGTCCCCACCCACCTCAATGCCTCTGGTGGCCAGGCCAATGGCCTGGGAGGTGGACTCCGGGCAGGCGGCTGCTTGCAGGACACAGAGGGCTGCAGAGCGCCCATGAGGCCAGGTGAGTTGGTGTTCCTGGGAAGGTGGCTTCCCACGAGGTCCTTGTGGAGAGACATTTCACTCCATGTGAAACTCTCCTCTTTTGGGCTGAGGAGGCCATGCTCCCTGTCACTGATCAGAGAAGCCCACCTGCTAGACTCTGCCGAAGGCGGGGGGCCCTTGCTTGGCTTTCTGCAAACGAAATTTTGTCACTTGATTGAGCAGTCAGTGAGGACCAGGTGCCTCAGCTGTTTGCCTCAGTCTTGCCTTTTGCAGCATGAGCTTCACAGAGTCAGGGTGCGACAGGAGATGGTTTAGAAAGGCAGTGTCTTCCTCCGCGCCAGTGTGTCCACAAACAGGGCTCTGCCAAAGAGCATGAGACGCCACTCTCGAGTCTGGGGTGAGGAAGTCTGTGGGGTCAGGGGCGTGAGTCCTGCCCTGTGAGGTGTCCCTAGACTGGTCATGAGGTATGGAGAGTTGTTCCTGAGAGGCAGGAGCTCTGGTGATGCCCCTGGGAAGAGGCTGAACAAGTGAGCATTCTGGGTGTTGGACCAGGGGTGCAGTTCAGGAGAGCTGGGCTGAGAGGGAGGGTAGGAATTGGGCCGCACGGTGAGGCCGCTTGCCGACCCGGAGACAGGCTCCCTTAGTCACAGGCTGTGTGGCTGAGGGTCTGCATTGGGTAAGAGCCTTTTTACCCCGCTCAGATGCCAGGACAGGCTGGGATGCATGGGGTGAGTCAGCAGTCACTGCATGAATGTGGGGGGACAAATGCGAGATTAAATCAGTGACTGAGCCTGAAAGGTGTCATCCCCAGAGCTGTCAGGGCGAGCCTGGGGAGGGCCAGGAGTCAAAGGACACTGGGATAATGGGGTCTCTGAGGCAAGGCATTGTGTGCATCTAGAAGCTTCTACACAGAGAAGACCCCACCAAGCTGGCTGAATGGGCCAAGATCTCACAAAGCACCCCATATAGATTCCTGAGCCTCCCAGAAGGCATCCCTGAGTGCAGAGCCAAGAGTAAGCCCTGAGCACTGCTGGACGTGCCTCTCCTCAAAAAAGAAAGTGAGCACAAGTGGTGTGATGTCCCAGCTTTTCTGGGCTCTCAGGACCCTGAGCCTTATTCACCAAAAGGAGCATCCATGAGACTTTTTTGTTTGTTTCTTTTGGCCACACCCAGCAGTGTACCCTGCTCTGACCCTAGAGAAGACTCTAATACAGGCTGTCAGGTAGCAGTAGTGAGAGTTGACTCTCTGCAGCAAAATATCCAAGTTTTTTGGATCTTTCACTTATCACTTAATCACTTAACTTCCCGTTAGTCGTCGATTTGCTCGAGCAGGCTCCAGTAACGTCTCCATTTGTCCCTGTCGCATGCTAGTGTAGCCCAATGGCATCTGTTCGCTCTGGGAACATGAAGAGCCTCAAACCGATCGTTCATGATCTTGACGAAGAAGTCTGACCATCTGGTAGGTGGGCGGCCATGCGGTCTTTTGACATCCCGTGGAATCCAGTCGGTAACAGCTCTAGTCCAGCGGTCGTCTTTAAATCTCATTACGTGACCAGCCCATCTGATTTTTGACACCTTGGCAAATGAGACAGCGTCCCTGATTCTTGATTGTCGACGGATGCTGGAGCTCCGGATTCTTTTTCTCATTTGAGTGAAACGTGATATTCCAAGCATAGCTCTTTCTATTCTTCTTTGGGAGACCTGAATAGCATTCTCATCCTGTTTGGATCTTTATAAAGTGATTTTTAAGTTTTATTAAAGAACAGTGATTTACAAAGTTATTGATAGTTGAGTTTTAGATATATAATCTTTGGGATGTATGGATGTGTGAGCTTGCTCATTCAAGATTTATTCAAGATTCTAAGTTTAAAAAAGATTTTATAGGGAACAGAACTGCTTGCATTATCTTACTTCACTGACCTCAAGCAGTAGAAAAGTTAAACTCAGAAGCCTTTCCTCTTATGAGATTTGGAAGTGGTCAGAGATACCAGTTTTCATGGGGAAAGGGATTTCAGGACTAAGAGCACCTGTCATTATTCTTTTAGGTTAATAAGTTTTCTAGTTGGTGGAATCACTACTGACCAATTTCAGTTTTGCTATTCCTGGTTTCGGTTTTTGTTTTGGGCCACACCTGGCATTGCTTGGGGCTTACTCCTGACTCTGCTCAGGGATCACTCCTTGGGGCTCTTGGGGGGACCAATGGGGTGGGGTGTTGGGGATTGGACCCAGGCTGTGTGCAAGGCCTTACCTCCAGACCCAGGTTTTGTGGTTTCTAAGCCTAGAACAAAGAGCTGAGTTTTCAGAGCCTTCCTTTATGTCTTCCTCCTTCCCCTCGTGTGGTGATATTTAAATGAACTTAGTAGAACCTGATGAACTTACCTCTTTAATTAAATTTTTTATTTTGATCTTAGGTCCTCTTGTTCCTATATAATTTAAAAAAATTAAATTTTTGAATGGGAGAATATTACTTCAGTAGACCAATAAAATTCAGTGTATATTCGGTTATTGATTTCTTCATTTTTGGCAGAGATTCAGGGCCATTTTAAATCTTTTTAAAAATTATTTTGGAGCCATTAAAAGATACGATACTAAATTACTGTGGGAAGATATGATAGTAAATCACTGCCCTTCAAAGACCTTTGGGAATTTAAATGTGACAGTTCAGAGAGCTGCGTCTTAGCACTGGGGTCCCATCGCTGATGGTAGCTTGTGACACTGGGCCAAGCAGAGGGGCTGTGTCCTCCTAATGTCGTGCCTGGCTTTCAGTTTTCAGCCAAGCCGTCTGCTTTAGAAGCCTCACACCGGGATGCAGCAGGCCTTTAAATGAACTTTAAATGAACTTCCATGTGATGGATAGATGTAAGGCCGGTTACGGCTGTCCTAGAACAGCTTGCAGCTGGAGGCATGTGGTGCTGTCTGGTATATCTTGATTGAAATCCCAAAGAATGTTCCAGAGTAAGGACAGTGAGAGGACTGGGCGGGCGGAGCACATACTTGTCTTTGTGAACTCCAGGTTTGTTCCCCAGCACCACAGCCAGCTGCCAGGCTAGAAGTGACCCCTGAACACCACAGGTGTCTCCCCAGCCGGAACTCTGTGCTCTGGGCCATTTCAATAGAGAAGCGGGCAAACTTTCCTTCCTACCTGCTAGATGCAGAGAACATGGGAGCATGTTTGATTCTGAGATTCAGTCAGTCGTCAGATTAAACTGGGTCAGCTAGTGAGAGGATAAACAGTCCCTGAAGTCAGAGTTGTGGAAGTATGGTCCCTGCAGCCGGTGGGCGTACAGGCTCTCCCAGGGCTTGGACCTGTGGAGCCTGTGTTGGAAGGTGCTGCGCACCCTCAGCTCATGTCCTCCAGCACCGGGAGTGACGATGTGACACTTGATATTTCCTGCCAATATCTCCTTGATGTTGGCAGCATTGTAATGCAGGTGCTGGGGACAGTGGTGATGACAGCTCTGGAATGAGGTGCAGGGGTTGCACTGCCCAGCCATGGCTCTTGGCATTAGCATGCCAAGAAGATGATTGGCTTCCTGAATGCTTCTCTGTAGCTCTCGAGGCCCAACCTTTTGGACTGGGGCCAGTGTCTCAGCAGAGCCCTGTGTGCTTGGCTGACGATGAGAACCCCGAGCTTCTCAGTGCCCTCTCTCTTGCCCCCCTGCAGACAGCTACACATTGTCTTCTATTTTCTTGCCCAGGGCAGGAGTGTGTATGCTCCTGAGCAGAGCTTCAGGGGACCGAGGGATCACTCCTGTTGATACTGGGGCAGCAGGGGTCCAGTGTCGAGTGCTGGGTCCTGAACTTGAGTGCTGCTCAGGACCTGCAGTTGGACCTGGCCTGGGCTTTACCCCGGCACCATTTCACATTGTCTTACTCCAGACTGTTGAGACCCAGTATCCTGAAGTTCCTACAAAGTTCCTATTCTGTAGAGTTTGTCATGAGTTTGAGAAAGCCCTTAGTTACCTGCAGATAGCGGGTGGGAAATGCATTACTTGGTGATCCTCCTGGGGAACACTTGATGTCCTGTATAATTGTCAGATGCAGCACACCTGTTATTTTGGGGGTGAAAATCTTGCATGGAGGTTGAGTGTTTTCTGGAAAAGTCTCCTTGATATTGGCAGGATAATAACGTGGGTGCTGGTGACAGTAGTGATGACAGCACTGGGAGTGATGATCGGACAGTGGTGTCCTAAGGGCACAATCATGACACTGGTGTTGGTGGTGATGCCTATGGTGACACTGGTTAGAATGATGGCAGCGGGGATGGTGAGCACCTTTGCTCTTCCCAAAGCTGTGCTGGAGGTGGGGAAGGTGGCCTGGTGCCCAGTGCTTGCATGTGTTTGGGGCCCAGTGCTGCCTAAACCACGTGCTCTGCTTGTTGTGTTTCTGCCACCCTGTCAGGTATGTAGACAGAGCTTCTCTCCATATGACCCTGTCCTGTTCCCTTCAACCTGGACCCTGCCATCTGCAGATGGCACCGTGACTTTCATCTTGTGCACATGCTAAATGTGTCTTGAGTGTCTATAAACAGAAGTGGGGCAGGGGGTGCTGATTTGGGAAGAAACAAAAATGACTCCCTGAGGATTCTCCAGTGTGGGAGCCTCGTACATCTGTTTCACAGACCTCGTTCTTTCACTGGGGAGATTCTGACCAGCAATACTCAAGTAGCAGAAGAATGGCTCCATTTCTGGAAATCCTGATTGAATAGATGGCTGTTCTGTTTTCCTTGTACCTCCAATACTCTCCTGCATGTTGTCAAAATATTAACTCGGGTCATCAACCCCAGCCAGGGTGCTGGCCTGGTGCAGACCCTGTGTCCTGCTTGCCCATGGTGCTAATGTGGTCGCCTACCCCTGCGTGTCGGTCCATAGATGTTGATGTCTGCACTGAAGCTTCGAGTCCACAACTTACAATGAGAGAAATTCAAAGTGGTGAGAAGTGTGAACTTTCAGTCATTAATAGGGGACAGCCCACAGGTTTGTTTTAATTTCATTTTATCCCAAATAAAAGGGATCCAAA